TGTTGTGGGCCGGCATTGCGCCGCGCCGCGCCGCACTGAGCCGAGCCGAGCCGAGGCCGGGAGGGGAGGGGAGCCGACCCGTCCGGCGCTGCTGAGCTTCCCGCGCCGCTTTCCTACCACGCACCGCGAAACCCTGGGCTCTCACGAGAACCCGCCCCCAGCCTCCGCCCCCCAAAAAACGCGCGCTGCCCCAAACCCCGCGAAAGCGGGCGCTCTCGCGAGAGCCTCCGACAGAGACCAGCCGGGGAGACGCACCGTCACCCCCCCACACCTGCTGGGTGAAGTTGCCCGTCCGGGGCCTTGTCGCGCGCCATGGGCTTAACTCCTTGTGCACTACGGGGGCCCGAGCGCCCGCTGTCTGAGTTGTATGCAGGGTCGCGGGGCAGGCCTGGGGCGGCGCTGGCAGCCTCCTTGCCCGGGAGAAACCTGACTCTGGGGCAGCTGCAGTGGGGCTTGAGGTAGAGTTGTGCACCCCCCTCCCCCCAGGCAGGTGCAGTTGCACGCCTGTGGTTCCTGCTCCACCCAAACTTCAAACCCAGCCTTTCTAAGCAGGCAGCACTGAGGGAGAGCATTGAGGCCATGGCTCTTTATAATTGATGGGATCCCTAGCTAACCTCTCTTCGTTCCACACGTGTTCATGACACACTCTCCTTTTTAACTTAGGAAGAAGACAAATTCAACACCCTGCCTGACATCAAACACCTTCAAGTAATCAGACTGCTTCAGCCATTATCTGCTCCTAATTTACATTCTCACAGAGCAGCTTTTTACAAATGCACTTTTCCATTCAGGAGAAACCCCAACATTTCAGGTTTCTCCTCTGCAAGATGAAGTTTCCTTTCTACCTGGGAGAACTCTTAACATCTTGGATTGCTCCTTTGCCTGATGAAAGGTGTCTGAACCCAAAAGCTTGCAAAGAAAAACATGTTATTTTGCAACTATTTAGTTGGTCTAATAAAAGATATCACCTCTGCCCCAAGAGTTTTGTCTGCCTATACCCTCAGACTAACAGGGCTACAACCAATCTCCTTTTAAAGGGTCTTGATTTTCCACTATTCAAAATATCTGCAGTGTGACTGTCTGTTAGCCACATCTTCGTCCAGTTTCACAACCCTGCAGCCTATTTTTGGCTTTAGCTACAAACTTTCTCTCAGGTGTGGTGACATTAATTCAGCTGAAGGCTAATTCAGGTGTGGAAATAACTAACAGTGAAGCGTTGCATGCACTGTGGAGATGCTCAAGAAGGCTAGATCTTGTTTTACAAATCCAAATAAGAGACGTACATTTACCTGTAATGAGAACCTCTCAATTACAATAATTTCTATTTTTGCCTAAATTGTTGAGTTGCTTAAACTTCATATATTATCTACCAAATCAGTGCACAGTCCTATGAAGTTATATGTGTTTTCATTTTGATCTTAAACTGAATTATGTCGTGCTAGGGCCTTAGTATACTGGTAAAGCTTCTAGTTTCTCTTTAACTGGAGAACATGTGTTGTGTTAAATATCATAGTGCACCACACTGGCTATACCCCCCCTTTCTCAAAACCCCGGCTGTGCCCATGCACATGCGCGCGCACACAGCCCTCAGGCTGAATGTGTCCATTCACACAGGACTTCCCGTTCAGCACTGCTGCGTGCTGTGTCTTGCTCTCTGTAGGCACAGATGCTTCCTGGCTATGGGATGAGCAGTTGAAACAAAGGAATGCAGTAAAGCACAGTGATCTCTCTGGACCTTCATTCCTGTCACTGCATTGTATCTTGCACCCAGCCTGAGTCCCACAGTGACAGTGGGAGAGGTGCCTGCTCCAAAATGTGTTGATTAAATAACTTTTCTGTGCTACACACTACTGGGTAGCGTAGAAATACCAGAGCTATCTTAGGTACCAGGAGCAGTCTAGTGGTAGCATGGAGTTCCAATGGACAAATTTAATCAGCTTCTGTATAGTGCAAAGTCCTGCACTTTAGATGGAATAATCCCATGCACTGCTACAGCCTGGGGTCTGACTGGCTAAGCAGCAGCCATAGGTGACATGTGGTGGGGTAGGTGCCCCCCCTGTGATTGGCCCTTGCCGGCTGGGGAGTGGGGGTGCTGAGTGAAGTGCCGGCTGGTGTCCCCCCTGAGATTGGTGCCCGGCAGCACTGAGAGAAGGGCCAGCAGCACTTCCGGTTTTTTCCACCAGTGCAGTGATCAGCCACTGGGAGGCCCCCCCATCAGTGATGGGCTGCTGGGGGATCCCTCCCTCCCCCGCAGTTGGTGATCAGCTGCTGGTGCCCCCCCAAACTCTAGAGGCACCAATCGCCCATGGCAGCAGCTTTGCAGAAAAGGACCTGGGGGTTACAGAGTACAATAAGATGGATAACTGTCAGCAGTGTGCTGCTGTTGCCAAGAAAGCTAACAGCATACTGGGCTGTATTAGTAGAAGCATTGCCAGCAAATTGAGGGAAGTAATTATTCTGTTCTATTCTGCACTGATGAGGCCACATTTGGGCCCCCCACTACAGAAAGGATATGGACAAATTGGAGAGAGTGTAGCAGAGAGCACTGAAAATGGCTAGGGAGCTAGACTACATGACCTATGAGGAGACGCTGAGGGAATTAGGCTTATTTAGTCTGCAGAAGAGGAGCCTGGCAGGGTATTTGATAACAGCCTTTACCTACCTGAAGGGTGGTTCCAAAGAGGATGGAGCTAGACTGTTCTCAGTGGTGGCAGATGACGGAACAAGGAGCAGTGTTGCAACTGGGGAAGTTTATGTTGGATATTAGGAAAAATTTTCTCACTAGGAGGGTGGTGAAGCACTGGAACGGGTTACCTAGAGAGGCAGTGAAATCTCCTTCCTTGGAGTTTTTTAAGGCCTAGCTTGACAAAGCCCTGGCTGGAATGTTCTAGTTGGGGATGGTCCTGCTTTTGAGCAGGAGGTTGGACTACATGACCTCCAGAGGTCCCTTCCAACCCTAATTTTCTATGATTGTATGGTACCACAGCTAGATGCTCCTAGTACTCTTGGCAATTTATGTATCTACACCTGTAGTTCTCAACCTCTTCAGACTCCAGACACCCCTTGCTAGACTCAAGGTACCCCTTCAAAAATGCTAGGTCTTAGCTCTCACTCATTTCTTGGGTACAGAAAAATAAGAGAGCAATTTTTCTGTTGCAAAGAACTCAGATCACAGCGGGATGTTTTTATTACTGTGGAATCCTATTTGAAATCTCTGCATTTATTTTGTGAACCATGCATTCACACACCTATCAGTGCTGATATTGAGCTGCACCATGCAGCACTCTTAACAAGATCTCCTGGCACGCCAGGGTAAGAATCATTGCTGTACACTGTACCCTAGTGCACAGAGCAAATGAACCCATAATTAGGTCTGCCAGTGTTAGGTTCTAATATATAGCAGAGCTGTTCTGATTCACTCCAGTAGAGGGCAGTGGAGCACTGATCATGCTAGCCGGATCATTGTTAGGGCGGCTGACATTCTGTTTACCATGAGTACGGCCTCTGGAAGAGTACATATTTCAAGTTTTCAAAATAGAAATCCTTTACCTTGCTTTCATTAGCACAAGCACCCCAAAATAACTCTTACCTTATCATACCCCTGAAAACAGGTGAGCTAGAAATACTTAAACTGGGCTAAAAATTTCTAGCACCTGATTGTCAAATAATGGGTATTGCCAAGCATTACTACTATTTAAACTTTTCTCATGCAGGAACCACTGGGGTGGTTAATTATAGAAAGATGTTCAAAAGAAAGAGGAACGACCAGTTAGGTCATAACTAAGGTGTCCTATTCAGATGGATGGCATGGTTACCATTCCTTGAGGCCTGAAGGGCTGATTCTGGTTGTTGGAATATAGCTATGGAATGGTGGTAATGTTGCTTTGTCAGACACAGTTCAGAGGTTAGCATGAGAGATATTTGTCAGATATTTCCCTATCTCAGTATGCTATAGAAAAAAAGATTTACAGGAATGACCATTAATGATCAACAAAGACATTTTGGTTGACTTGGATGCAACTGAATAGTTATTTTGGAGGCTGAGACCAATGTTTATATTTTTCATATGTAGTTATTCATATTAACATGAATTGTTCATACACAATAACATTTACATCATGCCAGATCACATCTGCAGTCCCACCCCACTCTTGATCGGCCCATGGTTCATCTCTGTATCACTCATCTAGCCCGTAGGTTTGGAAGGTGGAGCACCGCTGATCTACTGATTAAGGGATCCATGCATTAAATTCTTACTGGCAACTTGTCCCATTGGCTTAACTAAGATTATGAATCTAAGATGTATTTCTGCAAGTAGCAATTTGCAGGTTTAGGCCTTCCAGTTATAGGGACTGGGCTACTGTGTAGTTTTCCGTAAAATACTGCACAGAAATAAAAAGTTAAAATATATAATAATAACAATCATATTGCAACACATACCATCATAAGTACTTAACATTGTAGAGGTGGACACTAACAGGGGGAGCATGTGTCAACCTCATGTTCAATCCTTCAGGCAAGTGCACTTAATATAGTGTCTTAGTACATGGGTAAAGCCTCCCTTTTGTGTCTGGCTCCAGGGACTAGTCTTCTATTAGGACTGCCTGCAATGTACAGTTAAAGGAGCTTTTCTTTATCTCAGTAGACAGGGATTTATCATCTGTCAGATTTTCAAGCAGGCTATGAAAGTCCTAAGTTCAATTCATGCAAACAACTGTGGTTGCTATATACATGAAATCACAGTGTTCTTTGTGTTAT